ATCTTCAAGATACAATACGTCACTACAATAATATTAAGTAAGTTACCTACAGTACTTATTTCTAAATGGGCAGACTATAGTTATGCATTTATTGCCGGCGGAGTCAAGGCGAAACTGGATATTCTGTCAGAGTTTTTAAATGAAGAAGCCGTAAAAATTTCTATATCTTCGGTGCAGTTAATCAGCAATGTTCACAACATTAATAAATTTAAATATTCTGAACGCTCGCATAATACTTTGTTAGTGAATAGTGAACAAAATAAAATCGCTGTGAAGTGTCAATACTGCAAAAAATCTCCGCATAATTTAACAGAATGTAAACAATTCAAACGGTCACTACGCAAGGACAGATGGCGGTATGTAAAACGTTACGGTATTTGCTACAAGTGTTTGGTATCGCGCCATAATAGGGATACGTGCCCGGCGCCGGTGTGTGACACAAACAACTGCGGACAAGCACATCATCGGTTGCTACACTATTCGGTAAACAAGGAACAAACTGTAAGTAACTGTGAAAATCTTAACCACAGTAAATATATAGTAGGAACAGTACGGAAACTTCCTACAAACGCTCGAAACGGCACACTCACACAAACATGCGCAACGACGAGACTTCTAAGCGCTCGTCGCGGTGCTCTCAGTAGCGAGTGTCGCCTCAAGACTAAAAATGCCACGAACGTATTGCGTAGTATACGAATGTTTGAACTCGGCTTCATCAAAACCGGAGCTATCTTATTTAAAGCTTCCTGCTGATTTTGAAAGGTAAGAATGATTTTTATTGTCATTGTTATAATCGTTATCGAATTATAAGTCCGTGTGATCGATCATAATGAATTCGTGAACTTATTTGTACATCCAGAATGCGGCGGTTTTGAGGCTATTTAAAGCTGATAGTGTAATAGTGGTAACAAAAAGTAAATCCAAGATGGCGGCTGCAATAGGTATCATTTTTTTGTCATGGGTGTCATTTTCATAGCATTTGAGTATGTTGAAGCCGATAGTGCTGTCGAAATATAAATCCAAGATGGCGGCTGCAATAGGTATCATTTTTTCGTCATGGGTGTCATTTTCATAGTTTTTGAGTATGTTGAAGCCGATAGTGCTGGTTGAAATGTAAATTCAAGATGGTGGCTGTAATAGGTATCAATTTTTTCGTCATAGGTGCATCGATCACTAATAAAAAACATCGGTATCATTTTCATGGTTTTCGAGGGTGTTGAAGCCGATAGTGCTGTTGAAATGTAAATCCAAGATGGCGGCTGCAATAGGTATCAACTTTTTCGTCATGGGTGTTATTTTCATAGTTTTTGAGTATGTTGAAGCCGATAGTGCTGTCGAAATATAAATCCAAGATGGTGGCTGCAATAGGTATCATTTTTTCGTCATGGGTGTCATTTTCATAGTTTTTGAGTATGTTGAAGCCGATAGTGCTGTCGAAATATAAATCCAAGATGGTGGCTGCAATAGGTATCATTTTTTCGTCATGGGTGTCATTTTCATAGTTTTTGAGTATGTTTAAGCCGATAGTGCTGGTTGAAATGTAAATCCAAGATGACGGCTGCAATAGGTATCAATTTTTTCGTCATGTGTGTCATTTTCATGGGTTTCGAGGGTGTCGAAGCCGATAGTGCTGTCGAAATATAAATCCAAGATGGCGGCTGCAATAGGTATCATTTTTTCGTCATGGGTGTCATTTTCATAGTTTTTGAGTATGTTGAAACCGATAGTGCTGTTGAAATGTAAATCCAAGATGACGGCTGCAATAGGTATTAATTTTTCGTTGTGGGTGCCATTTTCATGGTTTTTGAGGGTGTTGAAACCGATTTTTCGTTGTTGCTTTAAAAAAGAACACATAAAGCTGATCTTATTACAAAAAAAAAAATAAACAAAATCGGTTTCATAGTACCCGTTCCTTGTTTCCCAACAGTTTATTTAAAAAAAAAAACCTGATCATTAGAATGATATTTTTTTACACAGTTAAATTCAATAATAAAGAATTCCGAACTTGCCGTAGCAGACGAAAATATTTTTCTGTAAATAATTTATAATAATCTATACAAATAAATAAAAATGAAGTGTCTGTTTGTAATGTCAAAATAACAGCTTTTTACTAAATGCATATGAAAGTAAATACGGTACTTATAACTAAATAACAATTTTTAAAATGTTTGTCTGTCTGTCCGTCTGTTTGTTCCGGCTAATCTCCGAAATAGCTGGATCGATTTTGACGGCACTTTCACTGGCAGATAGCTGATGTCATAAGGAGTAACTTAGACTACTTTTATTTTAGAAAAAGAATTAGGGTTCCGCGCTAAAAAATAAAAACCCTAACACGTGAGCGAAGTCGCAGGGAACAACTAGTGAAGAATAAAGTTACATTTTCGTCCAACTGCGGCTCGCGTACGTTCCCGCCGAAACTTGTAAAAGGTTAAGCCATAATGACAAAGTTAAAGTTCTACAAGTTGTTGTGTGTTAATATTAAATTGTTTTCCGTGTTTAAACTATCGTTTTTTGCTGAGATTACCTATTTAAATTGTATTTGTAAGCTAGTTATTTAAATTCGATTGATTGGTCACTACAGAACAAAAATATAAAAAAAGCAATATCAAACATTAAAAGTTACAACCCTATTGCTTCAATGGAGCGTAGGTAATTATATCCTCAACTAGGGTTAGTTTCCATACTGTTCATATTTATACTGTGTCTTAACTTAGTGCCTGTGTCTGAGAATGTAAGCCAATCCGAAACGATTACAAATATTAATACAAATTGTAAAGCGTTATTAAAAGTAGTCCCTGTAAAAATTCACGGTCCGAACGGAACAATTAGGGCAAGTGCGCTGTTGGACGACGGTTCGACGATATCGTTAATAAGCAGCGCGCTCGCTAAGCGCGTTGGACTCAGCGGCCAGCGCCAAACGATGCGCGTGAGTGGCGCGTTCGATTCTAGTGAATTAGTGTGTGAATCGACTGTAATGAACTTTAAGATATCTAATTGTAATGGCAATGTGTATACTTTAATTGCACGTAGTGTAGATAAACTTAATTTGCCTAAATATAACAATTTTTCTAGAATTAATTGTAATCAATTTAAGCACCTTTGTAATATTAAAGATCAACTTTGTAATGTTTCTTCTGCACCTGAATTGTTGATAGGCCAGGATAATTGTAACTTATTATTGCCTTTAAATGTCATTGTAGGTAAGGCTAACGAACCATGTGCGACCCTCACTCCGCTCGGTTGGTGTGTGCATGGACGTGTACCTGCTCATTTGGCTTCGGAGATGACCGGTCACATAAATTTACATCTTGGTGAGGTCTTGGAAGCAGCTCAGGTGGAACAGCGCATGTTGGCGGAACTCCATGATGAGGTACGTCGATCCTTTAACTTAGAGTCGTTAGGGGTGTCACTACAGCCACGACAAAATAAAGAGGATGTCCAAGCGTGGTTACATCTGGAACGGACAGCAACTCTGGTTGAAGGCAGATGGCAAGTCGGCTTACCTTGGATCAATGAGAACAGTAAAATGCCTGAATCCTTCTCCAACGCCATGGTGAGGTTAAGTGGTGTCGAAAGGAAAATTAAATTAAATAGCGATTACGGGGAAAGGTATAAGGATAGGGTGGCGCACCTGTTGAATAATGGATATGCTGAGGTAGTGTCCAATACAGCAGCTGCTCAAAATAATCCCAGGACCTGGTATCTGCCTCATTTCGGAGTCGACAACCCTAATAAGAAAAAGCTTCGTTTGGTCTTCGACGCGGCGGCCAAATCAAACGGATTGTCCCTAAACGATTACCTACTTAAAGGTCCAGATCTATTAATGTCATTACTCGGGATCATGTTCCGCTTCCGGGAATATAAGGTGGCATTAACCAGAGACATAAAAGACATGTTCCTAAGAATAAAAATTCGTCCTGAAGACAGAAACGCTCTTCGTTTTCTTTGGAGAGACAACCCAAAAGATCCCATCAAAACATACGAAATGTCATCTTTAATTGTCGGTGCAAACTGTTCACCCTTTATTGCACAGTTCGTAAAGAATAAAAATGCAATGTGTTACGAGTCATCGTTGCCGTCAGCTGTGGATGCGATTTGTAAGCAACATTACATGGATGACTATATAGATAGTATGGAGGATGAACCCACCGCAATGAAATTAGTGCAAGATGTTTCTTTCATCCATAAACAAGGCGGTTTTGTTATCCGAAACTGGACAAGCAATAGCTTAGAGGTTTTAAAAAGCGTACCAAAAGAGTCCTCTCGGTATAGCGGCCGTACGGTTTAAAATCGGCCAGCAAGAAGACGGTGAGAGGACACTTGGATTGATTTGGTATCCAGATAACGACACGTTAGGGTTTGATGTCTCGTTCAAGCGCATTCCGGAGAACATTAGCAGTGGTAAAACGCGGCCTACTAAGCGGGAGATGCTCAGAATAATTATGTCAATATTTGACGTATATGGAATTTTATCTCCAATCACTATAAAAGGAAAAATAATGTTACAGGAAACTTGGAAGGCTAACATTGGATGGGACGAAATAGTTTCAGACGCTATATACAAAAAATGGTGTGAATGGATGAAACAATTAAAATGGATAAATAATTTGCGCTTACCGAGATACTACCAAGCAGCCGCGAGTAGAAGCGAGACGGCAATAGGATCGATTGCGGATACATACGAGTCGCGGGCGCAACGGGCTGCCATCGGTTATAGCAACCTACAGTTACATATATTTTGCGATGCATCTACGCAAGCTATGTGCGCGGTAGCGTACTGGCGTTGGGTGTACGTTGGGTGTACTAAACGGTTAGCTACATTCGTAGCTAACCGTTTAGGAGAAATTGACGAGCTTACGAAAACAAATGAATGCAGATACATTCCTACGAATTTAAATATAGCTGATGTTGCCACCCAGGAAGCAGTTAATTGCAATTCAATTACTACAGAGTGGCTCTACGGCCCAAAATTTCTACAAAGTTCTGAAAATTCGTGGCCCATGGAATCTTTTATGCCCGATGTATGCAGCTCGCAGTTGGAGTATGTGAGTACAATACAGGAACATTCTGTAGTAGACTTACCTGTGCCAGATCCAACTAGGTTTTCTTCTTGGCTTCGTCTGCTAAAGACTACCGCCTTAGTATTAATATTTATAAAAAGATGCAGAAAATTTACAAGTAACTGTCAGATCAATTGTACCGATATGGAGGAAGCTGAACAACTTCTGCTCAGATACGCTCAGCTGCAGTCTTTTCCGGAGGAGATAGCTGCAATTAAGAATAGAAAACCGTTAGAACGAATCAGTAGGCTACACATCTTAGCTCCGTATCTTGACGATTATGGAATTTTGCGCGTTAGTGGCCGTATAGATACTGCCGCTGATTTATTTATGGAAATCAAAAGACCTATCATATTAGACGGACGGCATTCCATATGGCGACTAATCGTTAAGCATTACCACAAGAAGGCAGCGCACGGATTAAATGAGATGGTGGTAAACGAGCTAAAACAAAAATATTGGATCTTGAAGCTACGACCCACTGTACGTACCGTCGCGTCCAGCTGTATGTTGTGTCGCATGCAAAAGGCTAAGCCAGAACCACCACGAATGGGTGACTTACCTCAGCCCAGATTGGACCACCATCAACGACCATTTACAAATTGTGGTGTTGATCTGTTTGGCCCACTCGATGTGACCATCGGACGAAGAAGAGAAAAGAGGTACGGAGTACTTTTCACTTGCCTCACCGTGCGTGCTGTTCACATAGAGGTGGTCAATTCTTTGACTACGGACTCTCTTATAATGGCATTAAGAAGGATGTCAGCTCGTAGAGGTTGGCCCAAACATATTTTCTCTGACAATGGTACTAACCTCAGAGGTGCGAAGACGGAGCTCTTAAAATCTATTAAGGAACTGGATGAGGTTGCATTGAAGGATCAAGCACTAAACTTTAGCACAGAATGGACATTTATTCCACCTTCCAGTCCACACTGGGGTGGAGCTTGGGAGCGCCTTATACGGACTGTAAAAAATGCTCTAAAGGTCGTACTAAAGGAACGTGCACCTCGAGAAGAGGTCCTTATAACCTTGTTGGCCGAAGTCGAAAACTTAGTAAACAGTCGAGCGCTCACTCATGTCTCCGTGGAGCCAGAAAGTAATGAGAGCTTAACTCCCAACCATTTCCTGCTGGGAACGTCCTCCAATTTGCCCACAATTGGGGTTTATGACGATTCAGACATCTACCTCAGGAAACAGTGGCGTATCGCACAACGCCTGGCGGACAAGTTTTGGGAGCGATGGGTTAAGGAGTTTTTGCCCGAGCTGTTACCAAGACGTAAATGGAATCGCGAACAAAGGTCTTTACAAATTGGGGATCTAGTACTAGTCGTTAGTCCAAATGAGCAGCGTGGCATATGGCAGCGCGGAGTGGTCGAAAGGGTTTTTCCTGGCAAAGATGGTAGGACTAGGGTGGTTCAAATAAAGACTCTGTCCGGGATTCTTGTTCGTCCAGCGACACGCGTCGCCAGAATACCCATGGAAGATGAGTGTCGCTGAGGCGACACTGGGGTGGGGCGTGTTGGCGACGCATTGTTTTTGTATGTAATATTTATTATTAATTTTCTAATATGTTGTATCTTAGGTTAAGGTTTGTTTGTATAGTATAATAACGGTTATTTTATAAATTATGTGTAGGTAATCTTGTATGTATTTGTAATATTATCCGTAAGGTAGATAAGAAGGAGTGATCCCCCGCCAGCAATCTTGGCGGGCAGTTGTTGCCGAGTCTCCGCTTGTGTGCATATATATACGTTTAATTCGTCCCGCGCTTTGAAAAATCTAACGGTCATTTTGTATTTTCACCGTGTGGCGCAATAAACATTTTAAGTAACCAGCACGAGTTCTTTTTCTGCTATCGGTCCGACACAGATATAATAATACGCACACACACACGCACACACACACTCGGTAGAAGAGAAATAACTTAGTTTTATTAAAAAAATAAATTGTTTTATAAAAGTCTGCGTAAAAAAATTTTATATGGTATAATTGTATGGGAAGGTTCAATATAATGATAAAAATCCCCGCTTGTCACGCTGGAGACCGGAATTCGATTCCCCGTCTGAAAGCTAATTCCACAAAGATTTGTTTATAAATTATCTTAGAGTCATGCGTTATACAGTAGTCAGCTATGTTATACGATTAAAAGTATTGCATTGCATAAGACATTTGTCTTAGTGAAACGTGTTTGTTCTAATGATAAAAGATAAGTGACATAATGGCTATGAGTGGAACTTTAGGTTGGAACGAATTTTCGTAGTAAATTATTATTGATACACGTATTACATTATTGATTAGCAAATAGAAATAAATGAATTACTAGTCTATTAAATGAAGCTTCATTTGAAATAAAATAATGTTTCTTTCATGTCAAGATAATATAAAGTGCGATGGAGTCAAATTAGTTAAATGTTAAGAAATTATTATTTTAACACTTGCCCATTCTCCCCATTCACCCCTTTCTTTTCAACTTATCACGCATTCGAACCAATCAGGTTGCTTCGTCATTCTTTACAGTAAAGGAATTCAACTTGCTAGCATCTATCTGCCTTTCCATCTGGTTGCGATCTGAGAGGCAAGAGTGAAATAGGCTTTTGTTAAACTAAGCCAGTATCTTTTCCTATCTTCGACTACAGCATCACCTTCCATTAATAAAGATGGTAGTCAAGCTCTGGCTTATTAAAAAAACCACCGAGCACGTTGTAAATCAGCCCTTGAAATTGGCACTAACAATTTCATTTGTGTCAGACATAATTTTTCATAGTAGTAGAGCCATACGGCTGCCAAAGCTTAAAGGCAGCTCTTTACGTTGGCTAACATAGTGGCGAATATTGGCAAAGATACCAGCCAAGAGTTTGTGATGGCGTCCACATGTTGGAAGGTCGTTTAGTTTGCTTTAGTTCAGATTTTTCGAATTCTTTAAAATGGATATTGGGGCGCTAATGGCTGCTGCGGTTTATTTATTTACAGCAATTTGCTACTACGTGAATGTGTGTAAGAAAAGTGTTTTAAAAAAAAGAAATGGAAAAAAGGAAATTTTATTTCTTCTGTTGCACAAATAATTTTCGGCTTGGTAGAGCTCTATAAAGCGCAAAGTTTCTTCACTAGTCATTGTTACTACCATTTTGTAGACACTAGTTATGATGCGTGAATATAAAATTTAAATCAAGTGTATGCGATCACTCTGGGTGCTTGTAGCAAACTAAACGTGCGCCCAACGTGTTGATGCGGCGGCCAATACTCTACCACAACCCTTTGATCTTTTGTATAAAACCGACACCACACGGATCTCGTGCCAACTTGTGGGCATTCATTCCAATACATACCAAGTGAAGCACAAACTCCGGCTCTACACGATGGCCATCGATATTGGACAACACATTCGCCTCTATGTTGGCCAACGTGAAGAGCCGCCTTGAGAAAAACATACAGTCAGTCATCGCGTATGATGTTGTCGGTAAAGCCGACATAAACAATAAATTGCTAGGGTTAGAAGAACCGGAAATAAAAAAAAAACTGATTTTATTTTATTTCACGTTTAAACAAATTAAATAACTTAATCAGACAATTACTGTTAAGAAATAATATGTTTAACTTATGAAACTTTAATTCCTTATCTTTAAATTAGGATGACCCACAATTTTTTACCGCACATTTAGTGTGAACCATTTTAATTCATTTGTGTGACAGGACAACCCTAGCGACAGCTCCCGAGCCCGAGCGAATAACGGACGCTCTGGGGGCTCCGCTCGCGTCTCGCCCCGCACCGCACCGCACTACTGACCCGTATGATATGTAAACTGATATGTAAACGGTAACCTTACTTTACTTTTATAGCACAGCTTGTGTTCCTTTAAACGACTGTGAGATTTGATTCAAAAAAATATTCGATTAGAGATATTTATCAGCTATTTTAGGGCAAATTGCAGGCTATATTAAAGGTTAATATTTCTAAAACTGAGCTTAATTTCTAAAATGTCTTAATGAAAACTTAATAAATTATTATTTAAACAATTTATCTAATTATATAAATTAGGAGAAAGGCCAATATAGTTTAATATTTTCTTTACAGAAGCTACGTGTGCAAATCGAAAAGGGTGTGTAATTTTCTTTTTTTCTCACCACTCTGTTTGCTGCCAGTGGAATCGGAAAGGTCGGTCACGTGCAGGTGAAGTTGTAATTTTACCCAAGCAGCGTGCAAATTGTAATTCCTTTTTATACTAGAGGCTGCATTTACTGGCTGTACAAAGGCTGTATAAGCGCTTATACAGCTCTTATAAGTAAAAAATTGGCACAAATTATACAGCGATATGCGTTAGTAGCGCTGTACAGTAGCTGTACAAGCATAAAAGGGCTGTATAATAGCTGTATTATAGCTGTTATTTAGTATACAAGGAAACTATTACACTACAAATACTATCTTGTAAGTATATTTTAAAGATAAACGTTCTAAATTGGTGTTTGAACAGTATCACAAACAAATTTATGACAAACATAACTTAATAGATTTATTTATATACTTTATTGAATAATGGCGACATTTAGTGAGTGAAAGATTATATTGCTAATTAATATTACCTGGATTGAAGTTGAGTTTTGACGGTAATAACTGGTGAATGGAAAGTGCAAAATTACATTTACTTTAAACTTGTATATGATTTCTATCAAAAAATTGCCGCGCCAGCAAAATAACGAAATAATATAAGGAAAAAATACAATAAATACAGTAAGTAAATATTGGTGTATAGGTTAGAATAAGAAAATAATTAAATTTGTGAATATGAATGCATATTGGGGCACAGTGATCATTAGTCAAACTAAAAATAATGGTTTAGGTAAAAACTAATGTCTCATATTCCTAAATTTACAATTTAAATTTTGTTTTTATATGTGAAAACATTTATTTCTTTCTGTGGCCCAATTCTTTATTTGCTGGCGAAATAATAGATTTGTTGAAAATTCGCTGTTATCATCATTTGAACTACTTGTGATGCTGCATGATATATCATCATAATCAGGTGCCGAAACTTAAGTTACATTTGACATAACTGTGATCATGATTAACACTGTTTAATGTTTTGTTACGGAACCCTCTTTGTTAGCCGTCGATGGGATTGACGCTTGACTGTAGCTTGTCTGATTTATTAAAATATTTCTATATTCTTCAGTATCATTATTATTTCGTTGATAATTTGTAGTATTTAAATATTCCCTTTTAATCCTTCTTCCAACTGCACCAAATCTTTTTCTTTTTTTACACATATTGATAACAAATTAATTTGTTCACTAGCACAATATATTAAACACGCAATTACACATTCAATGGCGATATTCTATCACTTATACAGATCTAATCTGTACTATAGCTGTTATTTTTTTTTTAGTCTTATATCACTCTCATAGACAGAAGTCATAAAACTACTGTATTTACAAGTGTTCGCGCCAAATACTGGTTGTCGGAAGCGACTTCTATGGGGCACGCGACTCTGGGCGATACCGGTTTGAAGTTCGGCCGAGCGTGGCAAGAACGCGCGGGTCGCGAGCGAAAAAGGATGAGTCGTCTGTCAGTGCTTGCAACAGCACGTTGTCATTCTTGTCGGGAACTCGGAATAATTCGGCGCGGCCAGTAAATATACGGTCTACCATTGTGACGCGCATTCCTGCTGGAGAGCTTCCCAGGGACTCATTGTGTCTGACTCAGAATCTGCATAAGTGCATTCGGCAGTATTAGCTAGTGCGACCTGATATTCTAGAACTAACTGTTGCGACACGAAACGGTAGTGACCTTTGATCCGTAAACTCCGTGTGCGTTTTGTGGCTTCTGTCAGTTAGTAAATCGTAGGATAGAGTTAATTGACTGTCATCGTGACGAACGAGGAAAGTGACTGTGGTCCGGCGCCGAAGCAGTATGAAGCGGTGCAGCATTTTGGAGCAGCCTGGAACTCGGCCGCGGCTGGTCCCCTATGCTTGACAAGGCCCCACACATTCACACCTCGCTGTACACTACTCGACATCCACTATTACACACACACACGGCCTGCCCAAGCTTCGGATAATGGTAACAATTCTGGTGGCAGGGAGCGTTGGTTTGATTGGTTTAATTTGTGTCTACAATCACGCCCGTTCGTAATACGTAAAAATATTTTTTTTGTACGTAATAATAGAATTATTTCCCTTTGTTGCTTTGTTGCTTGCCTTTTTTTGGTTAGTGGGTAGTTTGAAAAGCCGCGCCCTAGGTTGCGCAAGCGGGAGTTTTTCTAGAGATATATGTCATGTAGGTAGATGGTTATTTTTACGTAATCGGTTAATTATCGTTGTCGGAAAGTTGTAGTGGATTACTTATCGAAGGGTCTATTTCCGAGCTAGGCATTTTTTTTTGATCGACCGTGATCTGTATTTTCGTTTATACTGTAATTTGTATTTGAACTAAAGAGTAGTAATTTGTATTTGCGACATTTGAATTTAACTTGATTTGATCGCACTAGTATTTGTTATTT